TGTGTTTGTTGCTGCTGGTGGCCCGCTATTTGTTACTGCACGTGGCTCTGTGACTTCTCTCTTCCCTTTTGTTTTCGCTCTGCGTTGACGGGGAGTTAGTTTGTGCTGAAGGCTACACGCAAGTGACAGGAGTGATGGCGATGATGATGACTGGCCGTGTGCTGCTGGTGTGTGCCCTCTGCGTGCTGTGGTGCGGTGCCGGCGGTGGCGGACGCGCTGAGGGTTTGGCAGCTGTTGGTGACAACAGTGCTGGAAGTGAAGGTGGCTCACGTGGAGGTCCTGAAGTAAATTCCTCTTTGGAGCCTCTTTCTGTTGTTGGAGGTCCCAAAGGAAATATGATGTCTTCGTTGGAAACTCCTCTCTCTGTTGGTGGTATTCCTCCAAATTCTCTTTCTGAAGAGGGTGATGGTTTACAGTCCCTTGGCGAAACGCTCAATTCTGAGGACGAGGTACCTTCAGATGTAAGTGGTCCGTCAGTACAAACAAAAACGCCTGGACAGTCCGATTCGCCCATCGTGAAGGCACCGGAGAAGTCAGATCCCAAAATAAAAACGCACATCTCTGATAAACAAGGAGAAGCAGGAAGTACAGAGGCTAATAAGGATGCAACAGAAAGCGAGAAAAGGCAGAGTGAGGTGGTGAAGAGAGACATTTCCAGCGCTCTCCAATCACCGCCAACACCGCCAGTACCGGCGTACCCAGCAGAAGAAACCCCACTAGCACCAGCAGACTTACGGAATTCAGTAGAAGAGAATCGAAACACACCGCCGTCACAAACCAAAACGGATCTCGAGGCACCAGAACCGTCTCTAGAGGGTGCTGAGGCAGAGACGCACGGTGAAGGAAAAACCACATCCGATTCGATGAAGGATGCAGCTAAGGGCCGTTCAGGAGATTTAACACCATCGTCCATCTCTGCAAGTGACAGCGTTGACGCCCAGAGGAAGGCGGAGGAGGAGGATGACAATGAGATGGAAGCCCTCAATCCCAATGAAGCCTCTATTTTACCTTTGGTGAACAAAAATGGTCAAGGAAACGTGATTTCATCTTTTTCCGCTGAACAGCAGGAGCAAAAAGGACAGCCGTTGGGGAAAAGCGGTGCGGGCGGTGTACCCGCATCAGCACTGTCCACTGTAACGAGTTCCCCAGCAGGCAAGGAGTCCGTAAAGCAGTTGGCGTCAGGAACATCTCCTGATGGGCATCAAAACGTGGATGGCGGTTCTACTGCTGATGGCTACCAAAAGGTGAGCACAGGATATGGAGATAAAACGCAGGAGGATGGACCACACAAAACTCCTACGGGAAACCTTGCCACAGCAGATGCAAATGGCCCTACAACTATGGGCGTGGGGCAAGATGGAACCGCAGTGAATACTGAGGTGGGTGCGAGCTCTGCTGAGGATGAGGAGACGGTGGAAGGACAGAATGTGCAGGAGGAAGAGGTCCAGCCACAGAACAGGGATGTGAATGGTGCGGCACTCAACAGCAGCCTCGGAAAATTGTCGCAAGAAAATAACAGCGATGGCGGCATCATGCGTGGGAGCGGACTGCTGCTGCTGCCGCTCCTTCTGTTGGGACTGTGGGGGTTTGCGGCTCTGTGAGGAGTGACTGGCTGCCGCGTGGGACAATTGCGCCCTCCCTTGCACAGAATTACTTCCCCGATAAGAACAAATTTCTCTCCTAAAAATGTTTTTTTGTTTCAAATTTTTTTTTTTAAATTTGTGCGTTTTAAATCTCTAATCTTTTGCTCTACCATCCCTTCTCTTTTTTGCTTTCAGGGGCAATCACTGTGGACGTTCTTTTCTTTTCTACTCTTCCCTCTTTTAATTGCTTCTTCTGCACTCTTCCTGTGAGGGGTGCCGTGTGTTTCCCGCCCAACTGCTCCACCCGCACACCCACCGACACGCTCATGACGACGGCCCTGTGCGCCTCGCCTGCTGCACGCATGAGGAGGGGCCGCGACGAACGGCGCGCTGAGGGAGCCGTGACGTGTGGGCGTGCGACGAGGGCCTGTGGGGCGGAGCACACATTTCTTTCCCTCTTGTTTTGTTTTCTTGCGGTCAGGGCGGGCAGACACCCGCAGCACCACACACACACAGCCACACCCTGCCGCACTGTTTTTTGTTTTTGCTTTGCGTGTGCATTTCTTGCGCCGGCAGTCCCTTCGGTGTCGGCCTCGTCAGCATTTCTCTCCCCTCCTGATGATTTTCTTTTGCTGCGCTCACTCTCCCGATGGAGAGACGCGACTCCCGTCATGTCTGCGTGTTTCTCTCAGTCCCCATGCACACACGAGTGACTGTGCTCTGCGGGCCGCACTCACACGCCGATGAAAGGGCTGAGGGGAGCACCAACACGCAGATGACCCCATGAAATATAAACGATGTGCGGTCACACAGAGGGTCAGACGGTTGAAAGACATTTAAATATCTTTTTAATTTTCTTTTGCAGGAAAAATATATGCAGACAATTTCTGGAGCAGCATGGTAGTTAGGTGCTTTTTAAATTTGTGTGGAACAGTAATGGACGATTTCTTTCTTTTTTATTACAATTATTTTGTGTGATGGGGTTTGTGTAAGATGAAGGGGAATGTTTGTTTTATTTTAAATAAATCTTGTGTGGATTGCCGCTGCTTGGACTGCAGTGCAGTCATGAGTTTGGGCGGTCTTTTTCTTGTTGTTTCCGTTGTGCGTCTCCGCTGTACATTTTTGTGTCTCTCCACATACTCTGCTATCTTTTCTACTTTATTCTTTGTGTTTCTGCAGGCACACACAACCACACACAAGATGCACATTGTTGTGCGTTTCCCTATATACTCTCATCTCTTTTTTCCTACTTTATGCTTTGTGTTTCTGCAGGCACACACAACCACACACACAAGATGCACATTGTGGTGAATTTGATGCTTCTTTTGCAGTGCATGCTGGCAGTTGCGTGTGGCGGCTGTTGTCTTCTTCCGTGGCCATGAGGAGAAGGGAGAAGGAGTGCGCACCCCGAGTTTCCTTTCCTGCGGGTGTGGAGCACCGCGTGTGGCTGGTGTGGTGGGTGCTCGCTCCGTGTGCGTTGTGTAGTGGCCGCGGGTTTTGGCCATTTCCCGTTGGCTGTGGGAATAAGCTGGTTGGAGATGGTGGTGGATATCTTCTCCTGCATGGTGGGTGGCTGCTGGCGTTGTGTGCCTTCCTTGCGTGGATGCCGTCTCGTGGTGTGTGAACTGTGCGGCTGGGCCTGCTGCCCTCTCCTCATGTTGTCTGCTCTCTCTCGCTGTATCCGCTGTGCCCCGTCCCTCTCCCTCTTGTTCCATTCTTTTTCTTCTGTATCACCGATCAGCTGATTGGCTCCAGCGACTCCACTACGAGTGACGATGAATGCGATGACGACGGTGGTGACGGTGCGGCGCCGTGTGGTGTGCGCCGTGTTGGTCATTGCGCTCTTGTGCTGCTGCTCGTTCGTGTGCGTGACAGCGACAGGAGAGGATAATGATGATAACAGCAGTCCTCCCAGCCCTAAGGCAAGGACACCAGATCATACAAAAAATGCCCTTGGTGCATTACAGCCAGATGCTGAGGAAGCCGGTGGGTCACAGAGAGACAGTGGGAGAAACAGAGAGGAAGGTTTAAGAAAACAAGGGCCTTCTTTGCCAGCGGAAGCAGGCACGGCCATCACTGGACAGACACGAGTTTCGCCAGAGAAAATGAGTTCGGCTAACGATAATCCAGAGCCACGAGGTTTGGCAACTCAGTCTCCACATACACAAGATGCGACTGGTGTGTCAGATGCACAAAATAAAAAAGCGCAAGAAAATACACAAGGTGATGAGAACCATAAGGCACAGGTATCAAATCAGAAGATCAAAATTTCAAATGTAAATACAACGACTACAGAGGCGCCAACCACGACGACCACTACAACAACGACGACGACCGCTGCACCAGAGGCACCAAGTACTACGACGACAGAGACGCCAACCACGACGACCACCCGCGCACCGTCACGTCTTCGCGAAATCGACGGCAGCCTCAGCAGCTCTGCGTGGGTGTGTGCCCCGCTGCTGCTCGCCGTATCCGCGCTGGCGTACACCACTCTGGGCTGAAGAAGTGTATGCGGGCT